GAGGAGGCAGGAGAAGCCGGTGGAGCCCGCGTTCTCGGCCGCGAGGCACGCTGGGAGACGTAGTTCCGCGCGGGGACTCGGCGAGGAAGCGCGGGGCGGAAGGAGGTCGGCGGGAGCCGCAGAGGCACAAAGCCGGGGGCTCCGTTTGCTGTTCCTGGCTTACAGATTTAGACTCTGAAGTGGCATTCGGCATAAAAACGGCAACCTCCTCTCACTGTGCTTCTCCCCATCCGTTGGGGGGGCGGGAAGAAAGTAAGCTAATACCTTCTGAGAAGCAAAGAGACCGAGAGGGAGGAAGAAAAGAAAACCCTGTCGTTAAAAAGACAGGGTCGGTGATCCTTAGGCCTAAAGGAGAGGCAGGAAAGAATGTCGAGGTCCAGTCATGGTTCATTAACCGCTTACAGGCTTTGTAAAACGCGGGGCCGCCCCTCCACCGATTCGACCTTGGATGAGTCAGATCCTGAGCCTCGACTTCCTCCTCTGTAAAATGGGAACTTTAAAATCTGCCTTGTAAAGCTGTTGTGAGCAGCAGATGTGCTCATCTTGGTGGAGCACTGACTGTATTTCCTGCTCTACAAGAAATGCCGTCGGTGGTTACCGTGCTAACCTCTTCAGGCTGCTCAGCAGAGAGGTAAGTGAGATACTCCCAGTAATGAAACCACACATCTGCTCCAGGTGGAGGGCATTGTATTTGGAAAATTGAATTTAAGTCACGTAAACGCAAAGACCGTCTACACCACGGCGTGGAGAGAGATTCCAGGAGTTGGCAGAAATCACGTGGTCCAGGCCTAGCAAGGAGAAATCCAGAGAATTCTGGCAGCACCAAAGGTGCTGAGCTGAGCCGTCACACCCAGTACTGTAACTCAGCTACTCCACAGAGTTGACACAGGTAGGCAAATGATCAGAGAAAAGGCTATTGTGAAAAACCATAGGCTTAATGTTCCATTTGAGACAATTATTGTAAAGCTTACAATAACTTTGGCGTCAAATAGACTTAATTTAAATCTCTCACTTACTAGCTGTATAGCCCTGGGGAAGTTACTGATCCTCTTTCTAAGCTTCAGTTTCCTCATCTGCAAATAAAACAAATATTTACCTCAATAGGGTGGTGGTTCTGGTGAAAGGATTAACATATACTGAGCTCATCATAGTTGTTTAGAAAGAAAGCATTTAGTATCAGCCAGCCACCAGGTACAAATAGTGCCAAACAGCACCACACAGAAGTCACTTTAAATCATGGAAATGGGACCAGCTGGTGGCGGGGTGGTTAAGGTGGCCGGACCCCACATGGCCAAGTGCACAGTTTGAGTCTCAGACCAACAACTTGAAAAAAATCCATCAAGTGGGGGCCAACAGGTGGCATAGTGATTGTGGCGCTGGACTGCCCCCTGGTTGACCATGGTGTGAGTTCTGGACTTGGCAGCTTGAAACTTGTGCACGGTGTGGGTGCTTGCGTGCATGCCCCAAATCCCAAGAGGATCATGGAGGAGAAGGGATTGCAGCATGGCCATCCCTCACACACACACCCCCCAGAGGGATACAGTGATTTCCCTCTTTCTGTCTCTCGGTGTCTCTGGCAAGCACACGCACCCTATAGCAAAAATCTTTAAAAAAAAAAATGCACCGCGTGCATGCCCAAAATTCTGAAAGAAGAACTGGAGGAGAAAGTGTTGTGGTGTGACCATATCCCATGGGGCTACTGTCTTACTTTCTCTACACCCCCACCTGTGATTATACTTGCCCTCTAGCAAATTTTTTAATCATGCGAGTAAAAATTATGTAAGTGAAATTGTGAAACTTATAGTACCTTTGAACTTGGGATGTCTTTCAGTACCCAAGGAACCAGGCAGTGTCTGGCATAGGCGTGTGGAGCAAGTGGCTCCTCTCACCATAACCATCAAGACAAGAGGCCAAATATGATTAAAAAGTTAGTCTACTTCCTCTCACCATAAAGACAGAGAGACAGCCAGAAAGTGAGAAACACCCCCTGGGGGATAGCCACGCCACAATCCCTTCTCCTCCATTCTCCTCTCCAGATCTTGAGTATGCACACACATGCACTGGTGTGAGTTTAAGCCACCGGGTCCTGGACTTGAACCGCCATCAACTACCCGGGAGTCCAGCGACAGCCATTACGTCAACTGCTGGTCCCAGTCTACTTCCTCTTCTGCCCTGTCCTAGCTTCATGTCCCTCTCACCACTGACTCCCCCATTCGCTGTCCGGGCACACCCAGTCTTCCCCCAACACCCCTCATCCTTTGCAATCTCGATTGTTTCTCTTAGGTGCTCCCTCCTTCCCCCACAGAAATCCTGATCTTTCATAGTGCTTAGCCAGGTATTTGACCAGCAGAATAAAGTGATCCCTGGTCAGCTAACTCATAGGGGCGACCATACCTTCATCCCGACGTGGCCTCCCGTTGTAGGAGGTTGGACTATCCCGTCTGCTTTTGTCGCCCTATCAGACTCAAACGTTGCAGCACCGGACAGTGCACTGGCTGGGCTCCTGGCCCTTCCCTTTCTTGCAGGCTGTTATCTGAGTTGTGGGACAGCCTTCCCATCCAGGCTCTAAGCAGGAGACGGGTGAGTGGGCTGGGCCAAATTTGGACATTTTAGAATAAGCTGGGTCGGACTTGAGATATAGGAAACAATCCACATCCCTCTAAGCCTTGCTCTCAGTTGTTTACCCCACTTACAATTATTTTCTTTGACGTAAAACAATATGTGAGGGGATAATAATACGTTAGTCTAATACTCATGAGGTGGAGCCGTTGGAAGCTGTACCAGGTTGAGAGTGGAGGAGTGAGAGGAAGGAAATCTCCATTCAAAACTGCCCGCTGCCCAGTTTTACCCTCAGATGGTATCAGCCCACGATGGGACAAAGTAATGTTTGGAGGTTCTAAAATAACATTGTTTCCATGCTGAAATGCAGTCCAGCGTTTCTCAGGGATGTATATGATAGGACTCCTTCTTTTGATAAGTTCTGGGATCACGAGTAGTAGAATGGGTTATTATAAATTACTCCAGCTGGGAAACTGCAGAAAGGGGAATCCATGAAAGAATCCGGCCACATTTAAACATTAAATGATTAAACATTTCTCTAAGACTTAGTATATATAAATTTGGGGGAAATGACACGGAAAAATTAAACTAGGGATTCTTGAAATCCTTTCAGCCTTTAGGACTTAAAACTAAAGCAATTTCAGGAGAGAGAGAGAGAGAGAAAGGGAAAGTGAGAAAGCAAGCCACCAGGTTCGGGACTCAAACCGCCGTCAGCCAAGTGGGAGTCCAGCGCCCTTAACCACCACGCCACCTGCCAGCCCCTCCATGACCTTCTATGCATTTTTCTGTGATAATTATCACCAAGCATTTCATTAGATGAAAAAAAATAGCATGAAAGTAGTAGTTTTATAAAATTTTTGTTCTAGTGTACACAATTCAACTAGAAAAACTCAAAATGGGGTAGCAAGGTTAAGATTCCAGGAAGTTATTAGAGGTTTTTGGTGTTCATATTTTAGGGGACGAAAGGCATGGCAATGGGAAGATACCTAAAGACATAAATCATTATCCTCTCATTAACTTACTGTGGTATCTGTCTTTTGGGAATAAAGTAATACTTAAGACCAAATGAATTAACTAATACAATATTTTTTTTTAATTTGCTATAGGGTATATGTACGCACTTGAGAGAGACAAAAGGAGAGAGAAAAAGTGAGAAATCACCCTCAAGGAGGAACAGCCACACTGCAATTCTTCCTCCTCTCAGGATTTTGGGGACACACACATGCACCTGGCTTGTTTGTCAGGCCTCCAGGTCTGGGATTCGAACCATGCAATTGACCATGTGGGATTCAGCTGCCTTAACTAACACTGGCTGGCTCAATACAATCAAATGTTGATTAACTACATAGATCACTGGATTTCCAACATGCCGTACAAGATTTTTCCTCGGGGCTAGCAGGTGGCATGGTGGTTAAGGTTGCTAGACTACCACATGGCCTACCATGGTTTGAGTCCAAACAAATATTTACCTCAATAGGGTGGTGGTTCTGGTGAAAGGATTAACATATACTGAGCTCATCATAGTTGTTTAGAAAGAAAGCATTTAGTATCAGCCAGCCACCAGGTACAAATAGTGCCAAACAGCACCACACAGAAGTCACTTTAAATCATGGAAATGGGACCAGCTGGTGGCGGGGTGGTTAAGGTGGCCGGACCCCACATGGCCAAGTGCACAGTTTGAGTCTCAGACCAACAACTTGAAAAAAATCCATCAAGTGGGGGCCAACAGGTGGCATAGTGATTGTGGCGCTGGACTGCCCCCTGGTTGACCATGGTGTGAGTTCTGGACTTGGCAGCTTGAAACTTGTGCACGGTGTGTGCATGCCCCAAATCCCAAGAGGATCATGGAGGAGAAGGGATTGCAGCATGGCCATCCCTCACACACACACCCCCCAGAGGGATACAGTGATTTCCCTCTTTCTGTCTCTCGGTGTCTCTGGCAAGCACACGCACCCTATAGCAAAAATCTTTAAAAAAAAAAATGCACCGCGTGCATGCCCAAAATTCTGAAAGAAGAACTGGAGGAGAAAGTGTTGTGGTGTGACCATATCCCATGGGGCTACTGTCTTACTTTCTCTACACCCCCACCTGTGATTATACTTGCCCTCTAGCAAATTTTTTAATCATGCGAGTAAAAATTATGTAAGTGAAATTGTGAAACTTATAGTACCTTTGAACTTGGGATGTCTTTCAGTACCCAAGGAACCAGGCAGTGTCTGGCATAGGCGTGTGGAGCAAGTGGCTCCTCTCACCATAACCATCAAGACAAGAGGCCAAATATGATTAAAAAGTTAGTCTACTTCCTCTCACCATAAAGACAGAGAGACAGCCAGAAAGTGAGAAACACCCCCTGGGGGATAGCCACGCCACAATCCCTTCTCCTCCATTCTCCTCTCCAGATCTTGAGTATGCACACACATGCACTGGTGTGAGTTTAAGCCACCGGGTCCTGGACTTGAACCGCCATCAACTACCCGGGAGTCCAGCGACAGCCATTACGTCAACTGCTGGTCCCAGTCTACTTCCTCTTCTGCCCTGTCCTAGCTTCATGTCCCTCTCACCACTGACTCCCCCATTCGCTGTCCGGGCACACCCAGTCTTCCCCCAACACCCCTCATCCTTTGCAATCTCGATTGTTTCTCTTAGGTGCTCCCTCCTTCCCCCACAGAAATCCTGATCTTTCATAGTGCTTAGCCAGGTATTTGACCAGCAGAATAAAGTGATCCCTGGTCAGCTAACTCATAGGGGCGACCATACCTTCATCCCGACGTGGCCTCCCGTTGTAGGAGGTTGGACTATCCCGTCTGCTTTTGTCGCCCTATCAGACTCAAACGTTGCAGCACCGGACAGTGCACTGGCTGGGCTCCTGGCCCTTCCCTTTCTTGCAGGCTGTTATCTGAGTTGTGGGACAGCCTTCCCATCCAGGCTCTAAGCAGGAGACGGGTGAGTGGGCTGGGCCAAATTTGGACATTTTAGAATAAGCTGGGTCGGACTTGAGATATAGGAAACAATCCACATCCCTCTAAGCCTTGCTCTCAGTTGTTTACCCCACTTACAATTATTTTCTTTGACGTAAAACAATATGTGAGGGGATAATAATACGTTAGTCTAATACTCATGAGGTGGAGCCGTTGGAAGCTGTACCAGGTTGAGAGTGGAGGAGTGAGAGGAAGGAAATCTCCATTCAAAACTGCCCGCTGCCCAGTTTTACCCTCAGATGGTATCAGCCCACGATGGGACAAAGTAATGTTTGGAGGTTCTAAAATAACATTGTTTCCATGCTGAAATGCAGTCCAGCGTTTCTCAGGGATGTATATGATAGGACTCCTTCTTTTGATAAGTTCTGGGATCACGAGTAGTAGAATGGGTTATTATAAATTACTCCAGCTGGGAAACTGCAGAAAGGGGAATCCATGAAAGAATCCGGCCACATTTAAACATTAAATGATTAAACATTTCTCTAAGACTTAGTATATATAAATTTGGGGGAAATGACACGGAAAAATTAAACTAGGGATTCTTGAAATCCTTTCAGCCTTTAGGACTTAAAACTAAAGCAATTTCAGGAGAGAGAGAGAGAGAGAAAGGGAAAGTGAGAAAGCAAGCCACCAGGTTCGGGACTCAAACCGCCGTCAGCCAAGTGGGAGTCCAGCGCCCTTAACCACCACGCCACCTGCCAGCCCCTCCATGACCTTCTATGCATTTTTCTGTGATAATTATCACCAAGCATTTCATTAGATGAAAAAAAATAGCATGAAAGTAGTAGTTTTATAAAATTTTTGTTCTAGTGTACACAATTCAACTAGAAAAACTCAAAATGGGGTAGCAAGGTTAAGATTCCAGGAAGTTATTAGAGGTTTTTGGTGTTCATATTTTAGGGGACGAAAGGCATGGCAATGGGAAGATACCTAAAGACATAAATCATTATCCTCTCATTAACTTACTGTGGTATCTGTCTTTTGGGAATAAAGTAATACTTAAGACCAAATGAATTAACTAATACAATATTTTTTTTTAATTTGCTATAGGGTATATGTACGCACTTGAGAGAGACAAAAGGAGAGAGAAAAAGTGAGAAATCACCCTCAAGGAGGAACAGCCACACTGCAATTCTTCCTCCTCTCAGGATTTTGGGGACACACACATGCACCTGGCTTGTTTGTCAGGCCTCCAGGTCTGGGATTCGAACCATGCAATTGACCATGTGGGATTCAGCTGCCTTAACTAACACTGGCTGGCTCAATACAATCAAATGTTGATTAACTACATAGATCACTGGATTTCCAACATGCCGTACAAGATTTTTCCTCGGGGCTAGCAGGTGGCATGGTGGTTAAGGTTGCTAGACTACCACATGGCCTACCATGGTTTGAGTCCCAGACCTAGCAGCTTGCTTTCTCATACCCCCCTCTCTCTGGTCAAATTAAAAATTTATTAATTACTCAATTAAATACATAATTAAAAAGATTTTTCCTCCACCTGTCTATATATATCAACATATACTAGACTTTGGTCTAATTATGTTCATAGACATTTCGTTATAGTTTAAAACTGTTGTTTTTTTGTTACAGGGCATGTGCATTTGCCAGAGAGAGGGAGAGGAGACAGATCCCCACCCCCGATGGGTATGTTCTCATGACAGTCCCTTCTCTTCGTCTCCCTGCTGTCGCGGGGATTTCAGGCATGCACACACACATGCCCGGCTTGCTTCCCAACTGCTGATTGGTGACTCAGACTGCAAGGTCAGCCATGTGGGGCCGGCTGCTTTACCCCCAGGCCACAGAGCTGGCCATGAAAGCATACTTTACATTCCTCTACTGTGAGTGGACCTTTAGTGTGATCAGATGAAACCAGATTCAGGAAGACCAGGCCCATCCTGGTGATCAACTGCATTAAGTCATTTAAAAAAATACATGTATTCACGGCCAGTCCTATGGCTGGGCGGTTAAGGGAGCTGGATCCCACATGGCCAGCCACGCAGTTTGAATCCTGACCCTGGTGGCATGAGACACGTCATGTAGCTATGCATAGGTGCCCCAGACCCTGACAGGAAGGAGACATGTGGAAGGGATGTGGAGGGGACTGTGCCTTATTGGGAGAGGAGATGCTTTCTCCCTTTCCCTCTCTCCCCCTCCGTCTCTCTAGGGTGAGCACATATGCCCTCTAGAAATTCAAAAATATATATTTATATAATACATTGGGTTGTCTGGAAAGTCCTGACACATTTTTACATAGAAAAAAAGAAAATAAAAACAAACTGAAAAATACGGCATGACTTTCCCCACAGCCTTTTATGAGAAATGTCTATGTTTTGGTTTCTAATCTGAGCATTTAGTGTGTCTGTATACAAACTATAACACAGTCTCTGTCCCCATGGTACACTCTATTTTACCAGTTAATAAATTCTCTTAAACTTTATTGTACCGGGGCCAGCAGTTGGTATAGCGAGTATGTCCCTGGACTCCCACATGGACAACCTGTGGGTCAAGTCCTGGACTCAGTGGCTGGAAGTCACACTACGCACATGTGTATGCGTGCCCAAGATCCTGGAAGGAGAGTGGAGGAGAAGGGACTGCAGCATGGCCACCCTGGGGGGTGATTTCTCACTTTCCCTCTCACTATCTCTGTCTCCATCTCTATCTCTCCCTGGAAAGCATACCCACCCTAAGGCAAAAACCTCTTCAAAAAGAAAAAAAAAAAAGAAAGAAATCATTTTATCATGCTGTTAACCAGCCACTAGCACTTAACACTAACAACTCACCTAGAAAGTTCTATGGGACCAGCAGTTGGTGTAATGGCTATGTTGCTGGACTCCCATGTAGTCGACCATGGTTCGAGTCTGGACCTGGTGGCTTAAACTCATGCCGGGCGCATGTGCAGGTGTGCTCAAGGTCCCTAGAGAAGAATGGAGGAGAAGGGATTGTGGCGCGGCCATCCCCTCTGGGGGATGATTTCTCGCTTTTTGTCTCTCTGTTTGTCTCTGTCTTTCTGAGGAGCACATGCACCCTGTAGCAAAAACCTCTCCAAAAACAAAAGAAAGTTCTACATTCTAAACACTAAACTCCTGCTACTGAATCCATCCCATAGAAAGAATCTGTTGACTTAGTTTAGTTTTCTTTTCTTAAAGAATTATTTTATTTAACTTTATTTATTTACTTATTTTTTTAACTTGACCAGAGAGGGACAGAGAGAGAGAGAAGAAAAGTGAAAAAGCAAGCCTCCAGGTCCAGGACTTGAACCATGGTCAGCCATGTGGGAGTCCCATTCCCTTAACAACCATGGCACCTACCAGCCCTAGTTTAGTTCTTTTAAAGATGTAATTCATCAGTTACATTAGAAAACTGGTTGCAAGTTGTGTAAAAATGATAACTTTTGCAAGCTCAATTTGCTAACATGAAGTACCAAGCTCCTTTGTTTTTGCAAAGCATTTGTAGAGAATACTCAAATCCAAAAAAAAGGATTTTCTTTTTGGGAGCATTCTGCTAATTAACGTGTAGCGGCCACATGTGCACTGCACCACCATCACCCAGAAAGCACGGTCTGCCAGTTGAAAGAAGCAGTGGTTTTGGGCCCTGGCGCTCACTGAGCGGTGGCAGCAGAAGCTGTTGGGCACTTGTGAAACCGAAGCATCTCTGTCCGTCCCAGGCCTGCTCGATCAGACTCTGCATTTCAGTGAGATCGCCAGGTGACTCCTATCACATCACATTATATTTATGTTATCGTGTTTTTTTAAGAATTATTTTATTTAACTTTATTGTTGTTATTTTAATATTTCTAGAGAGAGAGACAGAAAGTGAGCAAGCAAGCCTCCAGGTCTAGGACTCAAACCACAGTTGGCCATGTGGGAGTCCAGCACCGTTAACTATCACGCTACCTGCTGGCCCCATCATATAGGCTATATATAAACATATTTGCTCATCTCTGGACCAGCAGTTGCTGTAATAGCTATGTCACTGGACCCCCATGTAGTCGACCACAGTTCCAGTTCCGGACCCGCTGGCTTAAACTTGTGCTGGGCACGTGTGCATGCATGCCTAAGATCCCGAGAGGAGAATAGAAGAGAAGGGGTTGCGGCATGGCCATCCCCCCGGGGGTGGGGGTGATTTCTCGCTTTCTGTCTCTCTGTGTCTCTCTGGTGAGCAAGTTAGCAAAGATCTCTCAAAAAGAAAAAAAAAAAAGCAGGTGGAGGGAAAAAATGCAACTATTCTTAGAAGATTTCTGTCGTAATTTTAAGCAGAGGAAAGGAAAAGGAGAGTGCCCAGTTCATCGTCTTGGTCAAGACAGGTCAGATCATTTGTTTACATGCCTTCAGCAACTCCCCACTAAAAAGGACCTACTATACAAGGGAACTCCAGAAAGTTCATGGACTTAACCTTTGAATTTATTTTGGTGCAAAAAAAAGAGACCCATGCATACTTTTTTATAATCCACATTCTTCATGAACCTTTTGAAGACCCCTCCTCTATGCAAGAACATAGAAAAAAGGAAGGGAAATGTATAAGGAGTAAGGGAAGAGACGGAGGCTGAGATGAGCAGGGGAAGGGCACGTTATAAATTCAGACCGAGAGTCGCCACGAGCCATTTCCGAAAACGCCACCACAGTTCTGCCCGGTCCGCGGCCCACTTCACTCACCTTAGTTGTATTTCCCCTCCATAGGCCCGTCTTCAGGGTCCAGATTGGCTCCTCATTGACCCCAGTGCAGACGCTGTGAAATAAACGAGGGAAAGGTGAGGGATACCTCGCAGACACGGTGTCACGGAGGTGCAGAGTGTCACTTACTGGCCTCGTGAATAATGAACGACTAATCCATAATACATGGGCAGGGGACCCTCGTATTGTCACTTCACGTTTTCCTCACGGCTTCTATCCACAGCTCATTGGAAGGATGAGTGAGTGCCTATTCACAGAAAGTTCTGCAATTCCTTATCTCCCCCAGCGGCTTTTATGTTGTGCAGATTTCTTCTGTGTGTTTGGGGAAATAAAATAAAATTTGTTAAATTAATAGTTTATTGTAAAAGCACTTTGGACCCCCTGTCATTTAAAAAAAAAATTTTTTTAAAGAGATTTTTGCTATAGCGCGCATACACTTGCCAGAAAGATATATATAGAAAGAGAAAAGGCAAGAAATCACTCTCCCCAGGGGAGGATGGCCACACCGCAATCCCTTCTCCATTCTTCTCTCCGGATCTTGGGCACGCACGCACACGCGTCCGGTGTGAGGTTAAGCCACCGCATCTGGGACTTGAACTGCGGTCGACTACATGGGAGTCCAGTGACATAGCCATTATACCAACTGCTGGTCCCCCCCAAATATTTTTTAATTAACGGTAGAGTGCATGCATGGACATGGGAGAGGGAGAGAGAGGGGAGAGGGAGGAGCGCCCTCCTGTCACAGGTCTGATCCCATCACAGTCTGCTTCCCCCAGTCCTGGGCACTCACACATGCTCCCCAGTCTGCTTCAGGCCCACCCAGCTGGGATTCGGACTGTGTCGCTGTGTGGGATCTGGCTTCCCCTGAGCAGAGCACTGTTTGAGCACCAAGGAGCCGCCTCCCCCACCTTTCCTTTTAAACACAATTTACCTAAGACCATGTACTAATTATATGAGGTGGTTGTATTTTTCTGTGCAAAAAAGTGTCACGACTTTCCTGATGACCCAATAGTGTCAGAGATAAACAGAAAATTCATTTTATATAATCTGATCAAGACCATGCTTCCTCGGGATATAATGAGTATGTCGCTGGACTCCCATGTAGTTGGCTATGGTTCGAACCCCAGACCTAGTTGTTCAAAACTCGCAGCAGCAGGCACATGTGCGTGTGTGTCCAAGATCCCGAGAGGAGAATGGCGAAGAAGGGATTACGGTGTGACCACCCCCTGGGGGGTGATTTCTCACTTTCTCTCTGTCTCTGTCTTTTTGGCGAGTGCATGCGCCATATAGCAAAGACCTCTCTAAACAAAATAAAAATTCTCTTAAAAAAAAAACAAAAACAAAAAAGCAGACTTTGGGCATAGCACTTAGAAAACTTGCTATATTGCAGGCCGTATGTTCTGTAGGTACAGATACAGTGAAAACAGAGGTCCTGCCTTTCAGAGTCACGTGGAAAGAATCATATTGTTACTTTATTTATTTTTGTTTTTGCTATAGGGCACTTGCGTTCACCCACAGCGAGAGAAGGAAAATGATAAATCACCTCCCCCAAGGGGGATGGCCATGCTCCAGTCCCTTCTCTATTCCCCCTTTGGGATTTGGGCTGTGCACGCACATGTGCCTGGAAGGTCTTCAGGCCTCTGTGTCTGGGACTCAAACTGCTGAGCTGGCAGGTCGGATCCAGTGCCATAATTACTGTGCCACCTGCTGGCCCAGTTACTTTATTTTTTTGAGTCAAATGTATTTTTGAGTAGTATAATACTTAGGCAGATAAATCTCCTTTTGGAAACATGTACTGCATGAATGGCTGTAAGACTATGTTCTCCGTCAGAACAATTTGTCAAGCAGACAGAACAAAATCTTCAGATAAACCATCATGCTCTCCATTCCTCAGCTCAGTGGAATCTTGCCCAGGAATCTCCATTTAGAGAATGCGAGTGCAATGCAGTGATCGCTCAGCAGAGGGAGCTATTGTTTTCATGCGATAGAAACGAATCCTTCAGCATGAATGGCCAGGTTAGAGAAAGTACTGTCAGAGGTGTCAGAGACAGAGATGCACAGACCTAAGGTTGGGAGGGACAAGTTCTGTCCCCATATAAGCGCAGCATCTAAGCAGGGTCTTGCCCTGTGTCCTGGTGGGTAAGGGAGCCAGATCGCTCATGGCTGACTATATTGTTTGAGTCCCAGCCACTGTGTTTTTGAAAAATACCGAGCATGTGTATTATACATGCTTATGTATAAGCTCTAAATCCCAACAGAATAGAAAAATGAAGGGACCGATATGTGCCTCTGCTCAATTATTGAGTGGTGCCTTCTCCCTTTCCCTCTTTTCTCTGTCTCTCTCTTTGGCAAGTTCATGCATCCTCTGTCAATATTTTTTTTTCCATACAGATAGATAGATGACAGATAGATAGATGGAGACAGATCATCTAAGTAGTGTCTCCCAGCAGTCAGGAGTATGATTTTAAAGTCTCTCTACTCTCAGTAACTCAGTGCGCAAAACGATAGCACAGTCTACTGAGCAGCCACTGCATGCCACGTGCCCCGGTGCACGCACCACAGACTTTCTCTCTCATCTGTACATGAAGTCTCTAGGGGATACCCTGGAAGAGAGGGGTTCATTCATTTGCCCAAGGTCACATCTGACAGCTGACAGGGATGGACTTTGGACGCAGTTCTGACTGAATGCAAGGCCTGTGCTCCTTGCACTGAGCCAGGCAGCACTGCAGAGCCTCTGTGGGCAATGAGCACGTGCAGAGTAGACACTAAGGTTTTTTTGGTTTTAAAAATATCTTTTTTATATTACCAGCACTGGGCACCTGTGTGTGTGCCCAAGATCCTAAGAGGAGAATGAGGGAAGGGATTGTAGTGTGGCCATCCCCCCTTGGGGGTGATTTCTTGCTTCCTGTCTCTCTGTCTCTCTGGTGGTTGTACATGCCCTGTAGCAAAAATATCTAAAAAAAAAAACAAAAAACAAAAAACAAAACCAACCACGTATTACCAGAAGGCACATGCCTCAACCAGAGACAGACAGGACAGTGGCGGAAAGGAAAAGCGCGTCCCCCGACGAGGTGCCGTCATGCTGCGTCTTTTCTCCTTTCCTCCCGTTCGGAATTTTGGGCATCTGTACTCTCTGGGTATGCGCTCACATGCATGTGGCATTTTTTTTTCCTGAAGCTTTTCCGCTGTAGGGCCTGTGC